ATGTCTTTATAAACTCCACCTCCTGATCCATTATTATGAACAAACAAGACATGGTCGTACGAAAGTGCCCAGACAACACCCAAACAAGCGGTCACTGAATTGAAATGACCACCACTTAGGAGATAGTAAAATATATTGTCAGCACTTAATTGGTGGCCAACATAGAGATCGCCTAATATTGTATATAAACTATAATTAATAATATTCTTTGACATAAAAAGTTCAAACCTTTATTTGTCACACAGAGGATCCGGGCACCAGGTATACCAGTTGTACCATTAATAGTGTGGAGATCACCACAAACCAAATTGATCGTGGCCAACCAGTCATCTAATTCGGTGTCCGTTTGGAATTTGATTTTTGCAATAAAATTGTTTGCAATAATCACTAAACAATTGCTTATAGAGTACATAGAGTTCTCGGACGAGCCAATGAAAGCACAGCTAATTTCGGCCAAATTTAACACTTTTTTGTTCACTTTTATCTTTTGAGATGAATTAGAGTAAGATATGGTGAGACTTCCGCTTTCAGTGGTTCTCTCAACACCTTGTCTCTCGAGTTCAAGCAGACCGGGACACCAATTGGTCACTGTTTTGTCACTTTTGGCCACAAAACATGTGCCCGACTTTATCCAAACACCCGATTCAATAGCCTTTTGATAAACTGACATAAAGTCCTTCATTTCTATTTCATATCTATTTAGATAAAATAGTTTAAATTAAAACTTCATATACACTCTAAATATTATATAAAAAAATCAAACCTTTTATTCAATTGCATCAAAATATTTGATCTCCACTCGCATTCCTCTGAACAAATACTTTGCTCTTTTCCAAGACTTGATCCCAAAGAAATGTCGAGTGATGTCTGTGAGTCGTGCGATGCATAAGAGAATTGAAGATATGAATCGGAATTGAGTGCACAACTGGAGGCTGATATCCAGATCCAGGCCTGGGTCTGGCAATCGGTATTATTGGGTGAAAAACATGAGTCTTGAGAGGAAATGCTAATTGAATCCAATTGTTGTTCAATATTTTTATTATTGCTCTTTTGGTTGAAAGTGTTTATCGGTTGCCGAGAAATTAATTTCCATGTCTTTCCGGTTAATTCTCCAAAAGTAATACCGGTTCGGAAATAAAGACATTTCTTATCGGGACTCAGAGCCCATACCTTTAAATAATAAAATCCTATAAATAATTGTTATAATAATAAAATTAATCTCTGAATACCTGATCATTAGAAGTAACGGATAATAAAGACATTTCTTGAAACATCTCAACCCAACCCAAACCGACGGCACAGTTGTCATTATGACCCGAATTGAGGCCTCGGATGCCTTTTCTAAACCATACCTTTCCGTCACGAGTTAAGGCCCAAACACTATCGACGCCGACAGAGACTTGCATTAATTTGGACTCATTGGGCGCCTCCACTTTAACCCAATTATTCCCACAAACATTGTCTCTATTTATTCCCGTCCGCACTAATGCCGACCCGTCCCACGCGACCGTCCAAACCAGTCCAGTCGGTCCGCAAGATATTTGATTCACTTCCCAACCGACGGGCACCTCAACGATAACCCATGAAA